GTTAGTTGAAGATTTCATTTTTATATGTCAAAGTGTATTACATATGATGATGCATGTTGGTCAGTGTCATGTACGGAGAAGCTTAGGACATTCGTCAATTTTTTCTAAATGACTGTTACGCCTCAGGAAAAAATAACATATAGTGAATACTCGCATAACCGGGAATGAAACCAGTGATGTGTGATGAATTCCAAGACTTCAAGGTGAAAAAAGTGTGTGATTCAAGTCGTGGTGTCTCATTATCATATCAAAAGATTTTAAGGGGCCTAATTGCAAATTCTGGTCTATGTAGTGAGAATTGCGAATTGTGATATAGTAATAATGGGTCAGTGCGATAATAACTGTTAAAAATGTAAAAAGTGGTGAGTTGTGCATGAAGATGAAAGACTACATTGAGATTTAAAAAAATATAAAGTGGTACAATGTTGCATCCAGTAATATGATCATCATAGCTCTTTATTTATTGGGCAGTTTCGACTGTCGTGGTAACCAACTTCTTTGCACGTTTGGCATACTCTCTTTTGTTTTTTGGACTTCTCGATGCTTATTTCCATGGCACTTTTGATCCGCTTTCCACTGCCCTTGTTATCCACCTTCTCGGGAGGTAAAACACGAATTTTGGATGGTGCCGGTATGCCATAGTAAGATTCAAAAATCTTGTTATTTTCTACTTCTGTTTCTCCGGAATAGGCCGATCTCTCGAGCTTTTTTTACGTGTTTTAATAACTTGGCTAAATGCATCTAACAACTCAGAATCATTCTCCACAAGTGCGACACATGCGTAGATGTTCGACCATAACTGGTATATCTTCCCTCTAGTATTCTCTTGATTTGAATCCCCCTCAATGTCACACGAGATAGATCCTAGAGAACGTTTTGCAATGTCAATCTTACACCATCGCTTTGTAATGTAATTGTCAGGAATAGTGGGACATCCCATTTCTATAAGAACAACATATATATGCCTACAGAGAAGCCCAACACGCTGATAATTCTTGCATGAACACAATGCATATGACTTATCCGCGGAGTACATTACTGAGAACGTCATACCTCTATTGTCCTTTATTGTGTAATGCAGTTTATCATCGGTGTTCTCAACGTGTGTGCTAAAACACGAGAAACAAGCTGCAAAATCTCTTTTTGCACATCATAAAATACTAACAACGTATATATGACAGCGGCATGCCTCTTAATTGGTAACGAAGTCTTGAATACTGGAATGTAGGATTCAGAATCTCCATTTAACATTGCATTCCTGGGGCGTTGTGCATCCATGGAACTTTCAGACTGCATCGAGAACTTTACAAGACTAAAATGGGGGTTAGAGAATTCCCCAAAGAAGCTGTTCTCACTCTCAGATCCTGAAGTTGTTCGTAGTAAACCAGCCATGAATAAGTCCCTAAAATATGCAAGGATCCATGTTTGGTGAATTTCAAACAACTTCGCAAACCATTTGTGATTCACCAGATTGTAATTATGCATTACCTCATTCCACTTGTGCTCAAATTCGCATGGGTCAAGATAATGGCTCCAAATAACTTCATTCAAATGTGTGAGAAAGACAAAATCGTTGTTTAGCGGTTCCCCCACTTTTTTCCTACTTTTTTGGTAATATGCCACATGCAATACCGATGTGTTGTCTTTGGGAAAACATCGCTGATAGCAGTCTTCAATGACGGATATTGGTCTGTTATGATGCATTGCGGATCATGGTCCATTGCATCCTGAAATTGGCATAAGACCCAAGTATAGGATTCTATGTCTTCGTTGCAGAGTAAACCAGCTCCAAATGTAACACACTTCTAATGATTATCCACGCTTTTGAATGGAGTGAACACCATGTTGTACCTATCATTTTAAAAAAAAGAGGGGTTGCATTGAAATGATATTCAAATTAGCATTTTCATAAAATTATTGGTGTTACAAAAAAGGAATACATGTAAGCACACCTATTAGTCTCATACGTAGCATCGAAAGAGAGAACGTCACCAAAGAGAGCCCAATTTTTCCTAGCAATAGGATTGCACCAAAATAATCGGGTAAGTTGGTCCGTTTCATCAACATCATATGCAAAACGAAATGCAGGACATGTTTCTTGTCTTCGAAACATTTTGTCGATGATCATTTGTGCATCTCCACCAGCAACATATACCTTAAGGTCTCGTTTAAAGTTCTTGAAATCAATTGTTGTGGAGCCTATGTTATTATAACCACCAATTGACTCCTTAAACAACGGAAATGATTTCATTGTGCCGATATTTGCTTTGGCACAATTCAGCATGAATTTTTTGTGCCCAAAGTCAAAATTCCGATTGATTTTCAAAAAAGGTCTCAAGAATGATGAGAGCATCGGGTGATTGTTGCGTTCCTCGAAGGATGTGATTTTGTATCCAACACTACCACATAATTTGAAAACTACACGCACTCTACAGCCAGTGCGATTGGAAACACGACGCTGAATTCTATTCTTACCATTTGGGGTGGTCTCGGCCTTTTTGGGAGCGTTGCTGGACAGCTGAGCAGCGTGTTTATGACCTTCACGACTGCATAAAATATATTTCCATACATTTACACCATCTAGAGACTTTGTAGACGTACCCAAGCAGATGTCAAAACCTGCCAACAACGCGTAGTTCTTGAAGGTGGAAGACATTTTAGGATGCAGATATTCGAATCAAAAAATGATATTTCTTCGGAAAATAAAGGAGGGGAAAGATCTATTGCATTTTCTTCCTCTAATGTATTCGTATTTCCCCCTAAGCATAAAAAATAAAAATTTCACCAAAAAATAATAGGATTTAAAAATAAAGAATAGACAGACATTTCATATACTACGAGTGCAGATCTGGACGTATAAATATTTTCCAATGCAGAATCCAAATAATTAAATTGTTTGGCTTGTACCCGCGTCCATGGCTGAGGGCTCCGTCATTGCAGCAAAGACTCAATGGTGTACTGATCAAGGGATTATGGTAGCCCTTCCTTCCATCGGATACAATAGAGGAGGTATTATTAAAGAAATCCATACCTAAAAGGAAACGGGAATCTGGAAGATGGAATGGAAGGATAGATTCGGCGAGAGAAATTAGGGAAGTGACAAGATGTCCGGCTGTTGAATCGTAAAGGTTGTAGAAGGAAGGAGATCTGGAAATACTTTTATGCCCCTCAGCGGAAGTGGTGATCTTAGATCTGTAGATGAAGATCAGACGGTGTGTATTTATTCCTACTTCTTTCATTAGATTCTATTCTCATTTGAACCAACTTCTATATATATCTATACATACATACATATACATACACACACACACACACACACACATATATGTATGCATATGTATATATATATAAATATATATATGTATATATATATATATAATATATGTATATATATACACATGTATATATAGATATACGAAATATATACTAAGTCCCCAATCAGAATTTTATTTGCAAAGAATTAAGATTTTTAAAAATGGGGTTGAGTCTGTAATATAATATATTAAGTTTATATATATGTGTGTGTGTGTGTGTATATATATATATAGGGTGCGGTTCTGGTGAGAATGATCCTTGGTGAAAGAAATAAGAATGAACATAAGATATTGGATCGGATGTAATTTGCGGCTGAGATGCATTTACAAAATTTCATTTTAATTCGGAAACTAATAACAAGAGTGAATTTAAAATTGGAGATATTCTCTCGTGGGGGCATATCTGGAACAAAAAAGGCATTGCTAAACGTTAAATCAGTAGGGATAATTATTATCCCACCATTTACGCCATTTGCTCAAAATAGAATTCCACTTCTTTAGCTATACATTGATTACGGAGTATTTCTTTTTTTTTACGGTGCACATCATGATTCATGACTCATGAGTTGTTGTCATATCTTTTTTTATTACTTGTGAACCATTCTTCTTCTATAAAAATAAATAATAAATATTCTTTCCTATTAAGTTCTTTGAAATATTGATTTTTTTTACTTATTTTAATCCATATCTCACGGTGTTGGGCTTTGTGGAGGCTTGTTTGTCGGCCTGGCCGAGTTGTGCGTAGCCCTAGTTTTTTCCCTATATATATAGAGGGCTTGTATTTGTAATCGAGACACCACAAGTGAAATAGGAAAATCCTCCTGTTGCAGCCGTGGATTAGGGAAACCGAACCACGCTAAATTCTTGTGTGTCGTTTGTGTTCCGTTTCTCTCTTGATTCTTGCAGATTATTTGTGTGTGTTGTGTGTTTAATTCCTAACAATTGGTATCGGAGCAAGGTTATTCAACACGAGCACAAATTACGAGAAGATTTGTCACCTAGGGTTCTTGTGTGAAGAACCGTGTGGGATCCAGATCGTCTGTGTGTGTGGTCGTTCAGTTGAAGGAGCGACAAAGACCGGGTGCAGAGATCTAGCCGTGCAATCGAAGCCGCCGCCGCCACGTTGAGGAACCGCCGCCGCCATCGATAGCAGGTCCAGAGCCGTCGCCGTCCTCAGTTGTCGCCGCTGTGAGGGCCGCACCGGAGTGAGTCGCGCAGCAGGGGAGAGAGCCGCAACCTTGGGGTTGCCTCGCTGCCGCCGTCGCACAGCCTTGGTCTTCCGCCGACCGCCGCAGTCGCTGGGTAGGGCTTCGCGAGCAGCAGGCCGCGCCGCCCAGGACCCACCTTTCGAATAGCCGCCGCCGTAGGACAGAGGAACAGCAGCAGGCAGAAGGTTCAGCCGCTGTCACCGTCTCCTGGAAGCGCCACCGCCGTTGAGCAGGAGCAGCTGCCGTCAATTGGTGCTGCCGTGAAAAAGGCACACAGTCGGCGCTGATTCCCAATCGTCCAAACGAATTAAAAAAAATTGGTAGTGGGCTGATTGTTTTAATTGGCAGCCTTTTTTTTTGAATTGATTTTGGATTGATCGGATTGGTTGGCTTTGTTTTTTGGGTTCGGATTGACTCAATTAGTGTGGTGGGCTTGATTTTCTAACAAAATTACCAAGGTCTGAAATTTTAATACCGGGTATCTCGTCTAGTCGTTTGAGATGGCAGAAGATGGAAAGTTCCGAATTGAGAAGTTTGATGGTACAGATTTCAGTTGGTGGAAGATGCAAATTGAAGATTTGCTGGTTCAGAAAGATTTGGACGTGGTTTTGGGTGACAAGCCAGAAAAAATGTCGGATGCAGATTGGGCAGTTTTGGATCGGAAAGCAATGTCCGTGATCCGTCTCTCGTTGACCAAGAATGTTGCGTTCAACATTCTGAAGGAGAAGACAGCGAAGGGAATTATGGACGCGTTGTCTAACATGTACGAGAAGCCATCTGCTGCTAACAAAGTTTTTCTGATAAGAGAGCTGGTGAACACAAAAATGAAAGAAGGCACTTCAGTTACCGAGCATATCAACAAGTTGAATTCGATCTTAGCCAGACTCTTGTCAGTGGGCATTAAGTTCGATGATGAAGTTCAATCTTTACTACTGCTATCGTCTTTACCTGATAGTTGGTCCGGAACGGTTACAGCAGGTACTGGTTCAGTGGGACCTGATGGATTCACCTTTGATCAGATTCGAGATCTCGTTCTTGGCGAGGACGTCAGAAGAAAGAGTTCCGGGGAATCATCTGGTGAATTGCTTCATGTTGGTAGAGGCAGAAGAAATAGGTAGTGGGAGCAGGAACAGACAAAGGAGTTAGTCGAAGACTCGTGACAGCTCAGGTGTAACGTGCTGGAAGTGCAAGGAGGTAGGGCATTTTAGGAATCAATGTCCGAATGATAAGAAAGTAAACATTGCTCAAGGCTCTGCGAGTGACGAGGAGGTCGCTCTGACTTGCTGTGAGGAAAGCAATGTGGATTCCTGGGTCATGGATTCTGGTGCTTCATTTCATGCCACTCACAGCGGTGAAGCATTGCAGAATCTGGTTATTAGAGACTTTGGAAAGGTACGACTAGCGGACGACAGAGCTCTTGATGTGACGGGCATGGGTGACATAGTGCTGAAGACCCCAGTCGGTTTCTGGACTTTGAAGGATGTCGAAGTTGTTCCAGCCTTGAAGAAAAGTTTGATTTCTGTCAGGCAGTTGGACGAACAGGGACACGAGGTGAAGTTCAGAGATGGGCAGTGGAAGGTCGTGAAGGGAAATCTTGTCATGGCCCGTGGAAGGAAGAGAGGTTCGTTGTGACCGTCCCAGTTCAGAAGAAAAACGAAGTCCGGTTCACAGAGTCTCGTGGGCAGAATAAGGTTGTCAGTGCAAGAGAGAAACCTAGAGCCACTGGTCAGACTCAGGATGAACGAGCGTGGAAAGGTTCAAGGATGCCAGTCAGAGGTATTTGTGGCAGTGGGAGCTCAAGAGGCGCTTCAGCCAAGTTGCCTAGAAGACAGTGGGTCAGGAGAACCAGTATTCCAGCTGTTGGAACATCTCCAGAAAATTTCTTGCTAAGTACGGAGATTGTTTGTTCTCAGGATGTTCCAGGATCCGGTAGTGTGCATCTGCAGTGGGAGCCGGTAGGGACCGAGGACGAGTCAGGGGCAGATTTTGCCGTGAATGATGTGTTGGAGCTTGGGAGAGCTTCAACGGGCCTTTCAGTTGTCTGATGATAGGGCCGCTGCAACAGGAGAGCTGAGGAAGATTACTCGATGTACAGGCGATCGTAGAGGATGGCAATTGATGATTATCAAGCCTCCAAGTGGGAGAATGTTGGGCTTTGTGGAGGCTTGTTTGTCGGCCTGGCCCAGTTGTGCGTAGCCCTAGCTTTTTCCCTATATATATAGAGGGCTTGTATTTGTAATCGAGACACCACAAGTGAAATAAGAAAATCCTCCTGTTGGAGCCGTGGATTAGGGAAACCGAACCACGTTAAATTCTTATGTGTCGTTTGTGTTCCGTTTCTCTCTTGATTCTTGCAGATTATTTGTGTGTGTTGTGTGTTTAATTCCTAACACACGGTGCAAAAAAAATCATATATTTGCACTCATTTTTTTAAAGAAAAAATGTGTGATTTATAACTTTTCTCTTTTTCTAAAAACTATTCAATCGCCTTTTTAAATCTTTTCATCACTCTCTTTTACATTTTCTTATAAATAATTTTTTTCTCACATGGTAGTTTTTTATCTGTATGTACCATTCTTATGTATAGGAGCAATATGTATTGTAAATTATGCATGCACTCTGATGCTCATATATGCACACTGATTTGTCCTTTAATTTGTGGATAAGTGAATAATTATTAATGAGTGACTTTGCACATGATCGGATATCGAGCCTGAGAATGCATAATATTCCGAACATGTCTAATACATATTTGGAAAATAATTTGCATATGCGGGATTCAAGCCCACGTTTGTAGTACATGCATATCGCTCTACCATTAAGCTAATAGGTAATGATTTTTTCCAAAGAGAATCTAATCTTGCACACGGACATATTTTATATGCATTTTAATTTTTAAAAATTTGCATCATTCAAAAAATTTTAAAGCATCATAAAATTTTTTAAAATTTGCATCATAAAACATTTTAAAGCATCATCGTTTGCAAAAAATTCACTATCTAGAATATACAGGTGCATCATATTTATGTTAGGACAATTTCACTGTGATATGCATTAACTTTGATTATACAGAATGCATTATCGTTAATCTTAATTATGAAAACGCATTACCTTTTCATGTAAATGCATTAACGTGATTTTTATAAGGAACCATATTATACAAAAACAAACAAAAAGTAAACAAGATGAAACAAAATAAACAAATAAAAATTGTTAATGTTTAAGTAAAAAATTATTTTTTTTGACCAAAAGCGCATAATATTTCATTCACCTCAAACAATATACAAAGTTCACCCAATAGCCAGTAATATGCAACTATATGCTCTCTATTGCAAGTATATACATTTAAGCTTATGATTTATATAAGTCTTCATGTGGAATTTGATCCATTCAATGCTTTCCGCTGGAGAAATAACCTTCTGTTGTTTGATCTTTGAGTTACGCGCCCTCCAAATTACATAACAATTTGCATCAAAGGCAGCCATAACCACTTGTTTCTTCTCTCTCCCCTTGATCTTTCTGAGTTAATCAATCATTTTCTCATCATTAATGGCTTCCCAACTTTGTTGGATCCACTGCCCAATCACTTCCTTGACTTCTTTCATCTAAGAGCATGTATAAAATAGATGTGTTTTTATCTTCTTCACCATTAGGGCACAATACACACTTAGTATCAATCTCCATGAACTTGTTCAATCGAACTTTAGTGCTGACTCTATTCCTCCAACCAAGCCATTGAAAAAACTGGTGTTTGGGTATGGATAGTTTATTCCACACAATATGGTATGCTTTGAACTCTGTAAGAGGAGCCATTAGCCAAGCATATCCTTTCTGAGTGCATTCATGTTCATACTTGAAAATTGCTTCCTATTGTTCAAGATTTTCCTCAGATACCTGAGAATTGCTTCGTATTAGTTTTTTTATCATTTTCTATTGTGTCTCTAAAAAAATTAGTCATTAGCAATCATTGGCCCACTAGCACGTGTATTAGCTTCGCTGCCGCCATCGTTTTTTAATAATTAATACTTCAGCCGTCCGGAAATGTTCTTCTCATTTGACTTTTAGGGGGAGGGTTAGGGGGGTAGGAACCGTCGTTTTTAGGGGGAGGGT